GGGTAAGCAGTAGAAAGAAGCATACAGCCTAGGATGGTGATTCTCAACCCATGGGTCACGACCCCTTTAGGGTACACCATCCCTTTCACAGGAGTTGCCTAAGACTATAAAAAAAAAAAAAACACAGAGATTTACATTCCGGTTCATAATAGTAGAAAGCAAGATTACAGTTATGGAGTGGCAACAAAAATAATTGTATAGTTGGGGGGGGCACCGCATTGTAAGGAACTGTATTAGAGGGTCACAGCATTAGGAATGTTGAGAACTACTGGCCTAGAACCTCTACACACACACACACACACACACACACACACACACACACACACACACACACATACACACAATAGAAGGAGGGACCTTTCCTCTCTCTGTCCCTTTCTTTTTCACACCAGGTCTTAGGAAGAGTGATAGATACTTGGAGGAAGAGGTGTTCAGGGCCAGTCAGCAAAAGCTAAGTGGCAGAACACGCAGAACTAGATACAACTTAACAAGCCTAGCCCTAGAAAACATTCTGGCTAGGCCTGGTCCTATCATCACACAGAAATCTGGAAATTATTAGATTAAACAAAATAGCCTGAATTCACAAAGACAAACATGGTGTGTTCTCTCCAATATTCGGATCTTTGTATATGTGTGTATTTATGTGGATGTTAGTGTTGGTATAGTTCATGAAACTAGAAAGGAAACCACAAGAGTGAAAAATGAAGTTTTGAGAAGAGAAGAGGGAGGTGAAATAATGCACGTGACCTGAAAGGGCAAAGGGAACCACAGGGCGTGGGAGGGGTCAAGGAGTGGAGAGACAGAGTGGAGAGGGAGAAGGATCGACGGAAGCAAATTATGTGATAAAATATCATAATGAACCATATTGCTTTATATGCTTATATCAAAAAATTAAGAAGCTAGGGAAATGCCTCCGTTGGTAAAGTGCTTGCCATGCAAGTTTGAGGACCTGAGTTCAGATCCCCCACCCCTCCACAGAAAGCTAAGCATGGCAGTGAACACCTATAGTCCCAGCACCAAGGAGGAAAACACAGGAGGATTCCTGGGGTTCACTCACCAGTCAGACTAGCCATGAAGTGGGGTCAGTGAGAGAGACCTTGTCTCAAAAAATAAGATGGAAAGGGACTGTTATCAACCTCTGACCTACAAATACACACACACACATACACACACACACACACACACACACACACACACACACACTAAGTAAGCAGGACTGAGGCTGAGGAGATGGCTCAGAGGTTAAGAGTGTTTATTGTGTGAGCATGGGGACTAGAGTCTGAATCCCCAGCACCCACAGGAAAAACTAAGAGTGGTTATGCATTCTTGTCGCCTCAACACTGTCTGTAGCTTCAACACCCACTGGGTGGGTGGAAAGAAAAAGAAAGATCTGGGCTTGCTGAGCTGGCTTCAGGTTCAGTGAGAAACCCTGTCTCAGGGAAATGTGGCAGGGAGTGATAAGGCAGGGCACCCAACAGCCTCCTCTGACCTCTGCACACATACACAGGCATGAGCACCTGCACATGTGTGCACCTACGCAACACACACACACACATACACACACACACACACACACACACACACACACACACACACACACACACACACACTCCTGCCTCTACTTCCCCAACGTGCACAACCATACCCAGTTCTGTACAGTACAGGTATGGGAGACGGTACCCAGGGCCAAGCACTCTACCAACTGAGCCATATCCCCAGCTCCAGCAATTTTACAAATGTTTAAGGGGAAAAGCCATAATTTTTAAAGGCTGCCGGATTTCAAACTCTGCTGCAACTGGAGTCGGGGAGAACTGGGCTAGAAAGCAGAGAAGGGATGTCAGACGGTTCCTTCCCCGCCTCAGTTCCAACCGAATCCCTTGGAGGCTAAAAGGTGGGTTTAAGGGTGGATGCCGCAGGGATAGTAAAGTTCGGCTAATAAAGTCGCACCAGAAATCCAAGAGGAATCCAGGGTTCAGGCTCTGCTCTTCCCACACTGAGCAGAGCCCAGTGTGGAAGCCTTGGAACCCCAGGACCAAACACCTCTATGACACGTTTTTGGACAGACAACTGGGGATCCAGCAAAGCCTGGTGGTATAGGCCTCTAACCCAGCTGCTGGGGCAGGGGGGCGGGGGGAGTGCAAGCTGGAGCTACATAAGTCTCAAAATAAAAAGGAGACGAGGAGGAAAAGGAAAAGAAAGTACAAGAGGAAGGTAGTGGGGAAGGGGGGGAGAGGAGAAGTCAAAGAAAGAGGAGGGGAGAAGAGGGGAGGGAGGGGAGAGAGGAACAGAGGCGATCAAGAGGAGGAAGGGAGGGGAAGAGAAAGAGGTTAGGGGTGTAACTCAGTGGCAGAGGGCGCCTGCCTTGATTGTTCCATCCAAATGGCCGGGCTTGGCAAAGTTCTGCAATCATCTAAGGTTATTCTCCAAAATGTAAAGTCAGGAAGCATAAATCCGGACAAAAGTACGTCCCTGCACCACCCACACGTCCCCATAGAGGCCTTTGCCTGCTGGCGGGTGCATCCTGAGAGCATCAGTTGAGGTAAATTACACCGCAGTGTTCTTACTCTCGGGCCTTGAGAGTTGTCCAGGTCCGAGCCAGGATATGGCGCCACCTAGCGACCACTTGGAGCAGTTACAGTGGAATTTAATTTTGTGCTCCTTCCCTAGCGGTTATAGCAAGCCCACAGCCAAGGCCACGTTGTCTTTAATTATTTCTGAAATTTCTCCCTTCACTTAAATGTGCGGGGTTGGGGGGTTGGGGGGGGGCTGACCAACCCTAATCCCACCCCTCCATCACAGGTGAGTTGGTTGACTCAAGTCAAAGCTTTTTCCGCCCGCAAGAACCCCAATGCCTGCAGAAGGTGAGCAATGTGGGGCATAGGATCGTCCCCTAGTGTGGGTGCTTCTCAGGGTCCGGAATTACGAACCAGTAAATTAACCTGCTGCTGTTTGCAGAACGCCTCAAAGACAGGAGACAGGGTGAGAAAGAAAGACCTACAGACTGAGACATCTACTGCAACACGTGTGTCTTTCTTGGCCAAAGTTCCCTTAGGCCGGTAAAGTTCTAAGAATGTCTCTCTGAGGCCAGATGAACACTGGAAAGATTTATGTTGTAGTCTAGAAATATTGGTCTTGGTGAAATCATATGCTTTCAGACAGCAGTAAGGACACCGGCTCTTTTTGCAAAGGGAGTCAGCATCTTGTCCCCTGGGAAAACTCCACTGCAAACCATTCTCTGGGAAATGACGTGGATGAACAACAGACAGGGTCTTGCATTCATGTGTGGGTGTGAATGTGTGGGTGTGGTGTTATGAGTGTATACGCTCATGTGTGCAGGTGTGCTCACCCATGCAGGCATTTGTGGAAGCCTGAGGTCAACTTCAGACTGTCTCCCTCAGTCACTGCTCCACCTTATAGCCTGTTTGGTTGGGAGCAACAGGGTCTTACTGTGCAGCCCTGGCTGGCCTATCACTTGCTATGTAGGGTAGGCTGGCCTCAAACTCAGAGATCTGCCTGCCTCTACCTCCCAGTGCCAGCTTAAAGGTATGTGCCACCAAGCCTGGCTCCTTGCTTGTTTTTAAGCCAAGGCCTGTCATTGAACCAGGAGCTGGCCAGCTAACTTGGCTGCCTACAAAGCCTCCAACAGCCCCTACCCACCCATTCCCATGGTGGTCCTGACTCTGACCCCTAGTGCTGGATCACAGGTGTGCACAGCCACACCCAACTTTATATGGGTGCTGGGAATCTGAACTCAGGTTCCCAAGTACTACCCACTGAGCCATCCCTCCAGCCCCAGTTGCTGCATTCTTGACACAGTCAGCAAAAACATTCAGGGAGCATATGACTACGGCAAAATGCCTCCTCCCCCTCTTGAGCTGGATGGATCCATTATCTACATGGGTGGAGGAGGGAATGGCAAGTCGATTGTTCCCGTTGACTGAAGCAGGATTGCTTCAGAATGTTACCAAAGCTTTGATGACTCTTTTCAGTGGTCCACAGTTAAGTTCTGCAGGGGACACACTCGCCAACACCAACCTCCAACTCTGTTCCCATGTACGAGGTGTGGTAGAAGGCTTCTGAGCTGAGATTTACAGAGGAGATCTCAGTGTGATCTCCAAGGAACAGGATGAAGTGTGCTCCTTACTGACCCCGGAGAGCTTCGGGTGGCCCATTAGGTGATTAAGTCTAGGCAGTGTGGTTTGTTCTGCTTCTGAAGTGCCTTAGCCAAGGTTGGAGAGTAGGAAGGATGGGTTCTCTCCCAGCTTAGTTGCAGAGCGGGTGGGCATGTGGGCCCGGAAAGATGCATAAAAGCATAGACTGTCATCTGGGGAGACAACTGTCACTAAAGTGCTTGCTATGTAGATATTAGGACCCAAATTCAAGCAAGCAGCACATATTTGTAATCCCAGGACTGGGGAGGCTGAGACAGGGGGATACCTGGGCTTGCTGGCTAGCCAGTCAAGACAAACCTGTGAGGTTCAGGCTCAGTGAGAGATCCTGTCTCAATATAAAGTGGGGGGTAACTGAGGCAGACACAAGACATCAGCTCTGGCCCCCACACAAATGCATATGCACATGCACAAAACACACACACACACACACACACACACACACACACACACACACACACACACACAGAGCATGCAGTCCCCAGCAGCCCAGACGTGTTAACCCAGACATCCTCCTGAAATAAACAGTCATGCAGGCAAGCTAGTGAAAGCAAACAGTAAAGGAACAACGCTTGCAACATCCATAAAGGTCAATAGCAAAAAAAAAAAAAAAAAAAAAAGCAAGTTTCATGGTGCTTGTGGTATCCACTGGTGGGGAGGAAATAGAGTTCACTTGTCTTCAGCCTCAGCCCTGGATTCCAGAAGAAATCCTGACTCGTGCTTAAAGGATAACTAAGGCACGCAGCACCAAAGTTTGCTTTATTGGTGATAGGTCATGGATAAGGAAAAAAGAAAATTTCTCAAAAGGAAAAAAAAATAAATGGTGGAGGCCACTGCTGGCAAAGACCACCTTGGAAAAAAAAAACAGACCACCCTGAAAAGAGCTGCAGGTGTGAGGCTTTTAAAGGGATTTGTCGGGAGGCATTTAGACAGGAGGGTGGCAAGGTAGTTACGAATTCCAGGATAGTTAGGAACTCCCTCCCTCCCTCCCTCTCTTCCTCCCTCCCTTGTGACAGCATTCCTGCTGGCTGCACCAGGCTGGCTCCAGAGAGTAGCCTCTAGCCCTAATCCGTCTTTTGTTTAGCAGACACCTTTTGTTTCCCTTGTTTCCCTCTCTGTGAATCTTGTCTCTGTGTAAACAAGGGTACAAAGGATATTTGGTGGCTTTCTCGCCTTCATAGCAAAGGTAGTGGGAGACTATATTGTTCAACCATATGACTTACAAAAATTAGTGGTCTTTAAAGTCAACGAAGGGGCTGGGATGTAGTTCAGTTGGCAGAGTGTTTGCCTAGCATGCGCAAAGCTTCCATCCCCAGCACCACATAAAGCAAGTGTAGTGTCTCACGCCTGTAATCCCAGGACTTGGAATGTAGAAGCATTAGAATCATTGTCAACCACATAGGAAGTTGAAGGTCAGCTCAGGATACATGAGATCCTGTCTAGATCAGTCAGTCAATGAAGTCTACTTGAAGCAAGGGAACCTGGAGGGTGTGTTTAGGTTTTCCCTTGAATTCATGAGATGTAATCTCCCAGAGTACATCTTGCCCACACTTTGGACATATTCAGAACTTTTGTAGAAGGAAGAATTCATTCTTACAACATGGTCTTAGCAACACCCAAATCCCCCTGCTGACACCAGGGTAGGGGATGTCGCCGTATATATACTGTAAGAATGGCACACCTTCAAGCTATCTACCACCTGCTGTACACACCTCCACCCCACTGCCGTTCTTTCATCTGAGGGACACACAAGGTCTCCGTCCTTAGGCTGGCTTTCTCAGCTCTCAGCAGTTCCTGTGTGTGAAGCCTGTGACCACACCTCTGCCCAGCCGGTTTGTGTGTCTGTTTTCAACACTGTCTGAGGAGAAATTCCTCTAAGCTCTCTCATTGGCTGTGGAATCACCTCCCCTGGGCAGGATGCCAGGCCTCACGGAAAGAGCCATGTTCGCTGTGTAGACTTTCCTCCCGGGCACTATAGTAGCAATGGTGCCTGTCCTGCTGTCCCTGCCTCTCCTTCTGGGTCCTGCAGTCCTTCAGGAGACTGGTGAGTGGGCAAAACAGAGGAAAACTGGGGGAGAAATAAGGGGAAGGCAGAGAACAGAATGCTAGGCCATAAGAAGGATCCCTCGTGCACCTGGGATTCCCATATGTGCAGAGGTAAACCAGTTTTAAACCAGTTTGCAAAGTTACCAGTTAACCTAGATCACCCTTGTAGAAGCATTCTGGAAGTCACTGGACTTGTGTTAAATAAGACCTTAAGGAACATGAATCTGAGGGCTAGCAGTGTAGCTCAGTTGATAGGGTGCCTGCTGCGTATGCATGAAGCCTGGGGTTCACTACCCCAGCACCACACAAACCATGTATCTCATTCCTGTCATCCCAGCACACGGGAGCTGGAAGCAGGGGCATCAAGGCTGGGGGGGGGGGGGGGGGTTCAGTATGATCTTGAGGACTCAAGTTCAGATCCCTAGGACCCACGGAAATCCAGATGTGGTCACATCTGTCTACAGCTTTCCTATGACAAGACAGGAGGCAGGGCAGAAGAATCCCCCAGAAGCCCATAGGCCAGCTAACACAGCTTGCGCAGCAACAGACAAAGTGGAAGGTAGGATTGACATCCAAGCGTGTCCTCTGACCCACCTGCACGCTGTGACATACCCATGAGCACACCCACCCACATAGACACACAAAAGACTTTTTTTTTTCACATGGGAAAAGTATACCCAGAGAGGCAAAGTGACCTGCCAAGAGTCAGACAGTGGAACTGAATACGGACCTCACGAGTTTCCTCTACTCTCTCTCCTCCCCGCCTTCCGCTTGTCTGACTCTGAGGGAAAAAGGAAAAGATCCCAGGAGAAAAATACAGAGGCAGGCTAGAAGCGAGGAAACCAGGACCTTCCTCTGCAGTGAGATGAGGCAACGGGGACCAGTGAGATCCACAGTCAGTTCCAGGACAGGAAATGAGGCTATTCACTGCACACAAAATTTTGGATGAAGATTTCAAACTGCACCAGTTTAAAAACTTAGTGCATTCCCAGAATGTTGCATCGATATTTATGTCTGTTTTATAATAAGGCACTGTGTTTAGAATGTTAAGTATGTTCTAAAGGGGCTGTAGAGAGGGCTCAGCGCTTACGAGTACTTGTTGCTCTTGCAGAGGACCTGTGGTTTAGTTCCCAGAATCCACCTGGTAGTTTATTACTGCCTGTAATGCTAGCCCCAAAAGATCTAATACCCTTTTCTGGCCTCTTTGCATACTGCACACATGTACAGTGTATATAATTTTTTAAATAAATATTTTTTAATGTTAAGTATATTCTATACCAAAAATATGAATTAGTAAGGGGCCTCTAGAGAACAGAACTAATGGGATAGATATACAGGATGGATGGATGGATGGATGCATGGATGGATGGATGCAAAGATATAAACAGGGATAAGTAGATAGATGATGGCTGAATGAATAGATAGACAGGAAGATATAGACAGGTAATGGGTAGATGAATGAATATATGATAGATAGATAGATAGATAGATAGATAGATAGATAGATAGATAGATGATAGGTAGATAGACTGACAGGTAGAGGCAGATCCCTAGAGTTCATTTATGGCCCAACCTGCCTGAACTGATGAACTCCAGGTCCAGTGAGAAACCCCATCTCAAAAAAATAAGATGTCAGACCAGAGACATGGCTCAGAAGTAATAGTACTTACCACCAAGCCAGATAACTAAATTTGATCCCTAGGACCCACATGATAGAGAGAACCAACTCCTGCAAGCTGTCCTCTGACTGCTACACACACAGTGGCATGTGCATGCTTATGCACGCACAAGTCACACACACACACACACACACACACACACACACACACACACACACAAATAGACACAATTTTTTAAAAAGATGGAAAGCTATAAAGGAAGACATCCCAACTTGACCTCTGACCTCTACATCATGCACATGTGCTCACACCCACAAGAACACATACATATCACACACACACACACACACACACACACACACACACACACACACAAATAATTTTATATGCAAACTAGAGGATACAGTATAGAGACAACACAGAACAGTTTCTGACATGGCATCCCCAGGAGAAACAGCGTCCCTTCACATGAGTGAACCTCCCACAGTGTGAGGCGGCAGTAAAAGCAGAGGAAGAAGCTCCATGGCCGGGTCCTCCCCAGTGGGTCTCCTGGGCATGAACCCCACCCCTCAGAATCTTCCCCTCTTCCACAGGGCCTTATTCGCTGATCTTCCTCTACACCGGCTTGTCCAGGCCCAGCAAAGGCATCCCCAGGTTTCAAGCCACCGCATTTCTCAATGACCAGGCCTTCTTCCACTATGACAGCAACAGCAGGAAGGCGGAGCCCGTGGGGCCTTGGAGCCAGGTAGAAGGAATGGAGGACTGGGAGAAGGAGAGCCAGCTTCAGAGGGCCAGGGAGGAGATCTTCCTCGTGACCCTGAAAGACATCATGGACTATTACAAGGACAGCGCAGGTCAGTGAGATATTACAGACCAATGAGGTGGAGTGCTTTACCTGAGCAGCCCCATGAATATGACTGGAAAAGATTCCCCAGGCTGGAACTAGACACACACACACACACACACACACACACACACACACACACACACACACAGGAGGAGCAGTAAGCACAGATAGCCGTGCACAGGTTCACCCACAACACCTCCCATCCTCCGTACTCACATTGACCTCCTCCTTTCCCATGGCTTCTTTTATTTTCACTCCAGACCTCAGCCCCTAAAGGAAGTGGTATCAGAGTCACTTCTTACCCAGGGACCACTGACCTTTCAACTCCATGTTCCTGTCCACTTGAGAAGGTATCATTCAACACTATCCAGGTGGAGAACAATAGAGGAACATCCCAGCACTCTGTGGGCTCTGAGTGTGCATGCACACTTACATGCACTTACACCAAACACACACACACACACACACACACACACACCACAATTATCTAATTATTAAGAAAGAAGGTAACAGTAACTTACATTTACTGAGTACTTGCTCTGTGCTAGCCTCAGGTATGATCACATTTAATGCTCAAAATAACATCTTCAAAGATTATTATTACTGTTGTCATTTCAAAGATTTTTTTAAGTGTTTCACTTAAGCTTAATTATATTTCATAGTTCACTTAACAAGGCAGGTGGGTAGACCAGGGGAAGATCTGGAATTTAAACCCAGACAGCTTAAGAGCTTTTTTTGAGCCTGTGCCAACAGCACCACTCAGGACTGGGTAAACATCCACTGTTGTAATCAGACTGACCTGTGCTAGGCAGGTCACTTTGTGTTCATGGGCAAGGGAGGTTTGGAGTAAACACCAGGAACGGTGGCTTATCAGTAATCTCAGCATCCGGAAAGCAAAGACAGGGGGATTGCCAAGAGTTTGTGGCAGCCTGGGCTACATAATGAGATCCAAGCCAGCCTGGGCTACAAAGTGAGACCCTGTCCCAAAAATAAACAAACAATAAATAAGATACTAACCACTGAAAAGAGGGAAGTGATCCAATTATGTAAAGAGTAATGATTTGAATGCAAAATAGAAAGTAGCAAGTAGAAATTCCTATAATCTATAAGAAACCACAAATAATTCCTATTTAACGTGGAAATGCAGTTCATTGTGACTATGTTTAATTCTGAAGAATTCACCATCCACTAAAACACATAAGTTTGTTAGATGAGACGATGAAAAAGACTTGAAATCTGAGTGCTTGCCTAGCACACCAGAGGTCCTAGTCTCAATCCCCAGCACCACATAAAACTGGGTATGGTGTCACACACCTGTAAACCCAGCACTAGTGAAATGAAGACAAGAGAGTCAGGAGTTCAAAGTCACCCAGAGTATCTGACACTGTTAGAAAGAAATAGACTTGGAATCTGTCCATAATCATGAAATTCTCCAACTATAAAGAATGCATTTCCTCTCAGAGAGGCCTGAAACACCCAGCCAAATACAGTTTCTTCCTCTGCTGTGTGCCTGGCTAGTAACCTGTGAACGGACATTTCTCTCCCACCTGCCAATTCCCAAATAACCACTCAGAGGCTTATACTAATTACAGAATGCTTGGCCATTAGCTCAGGCTTATTATTAACTAGCTCTTTTTACATTTGAATTAACCCATTTCTATTCATTTATGTATTGCCATATGGTCTGTGGCATTACTGGTCCTCTGGCATCTTGTTTCTTGGGTGGTTCACTGGCATCTCTCTTGCTCCATCCTTCTTCATTCCCTCCTTAGTTTGGTTTTTCTGCCTAACTTTATCCTGCCTGGCTACTGGCCAAACAGATTCTTTATTAACCAATGAGAATAATACATATTCACAGCATACAGAAGGATCATCCCACAGCAGTAACCTGTTTGCCAAGATAAAGAATTGAGTGTATAGATTCCCAAGTATGTAGGAATGAGAGTCGCTCAGCCGGAGTTGGCACCCATCTGACTGACTCCCTGTGGGGTCGGGGAGGCTTCAGGGTCTCATACCTTCCAGGGAATGTTCGGTTGTGAGCTATTGAATAACAGAAGCAATGGAGCATTCTGGAGGTATGCCTACGATGGACAGGATTTCATCGAATTCAACAAAGAAATCCCAGCCTGGATCCCCTTAGTCCCAGCAGCTGAGAACACCAAGCTGAAGTGGGAGGCAGAAAAAGTCTACACACAGCGAGCCAAGGCATACCTAGAGGAGGAGTGCCCCAAAATGCTGAAGAGGTACCTGAACTACAGCAGATCTCACCTGGATCAAAAAGGTATGCACTGCTTTTATGATCTGCTCCAAGTACTAAACTGAAAACCAAAGTGATCTCAGGCTCAGGGGACCATGGCAGGTTGTCCCATCAATCCCTATTAGTCCCTTAATCCCCCCGCTTTCATCTACTAGGATTCGTTCCTTCTGAAGACATGATGTGAGAGCCAAAAGGAATGTTCATCAAAAAAGTGGAAAGAACTAGGGGTTACAGCTCAGTTTTAGAGCACCTGCTTAGACTCCCCCAATGAGAGGCTGGGGTGTGACTCAGTGGTAGAGCACCTGCCTAGAATCCCCCAGTGAGGGGCTGGGGTGTGGCTTAGTGGTAGAGCACCTACCTAGCATGTACAAGAGTCTGGATTCAATCTTAAATACACACACACACACACACACACACACACACACACACACACACACACACAAGTCAGGAACAAAACTGGCTTAATAGCAAGGTTCCCTAAATAATCCTTGCTTTGCAGCACATGCTGTAATCCCAGCACTCAGAAGGTTAAGGGTAGAGAGCATTGCCATGAGTTCAGGGCCTGCCTACATGACAAGTACCAGGAAAGCTATACCCTGTCTCTGAAAGGGGTGGGAGAGATGGAGAAAGAAAGAACTGGGATTCAGCTTCAGTTGGCACTCAAATTCCACATTTCGGATTCCAAACTCCATAGCAGTTCCTTGATACAGTGATGCCTCTCATCTTGTTTGTAGTGAGGAGGTAGGTGTGTTAAACGTCTGGCTAGGAAGGAAGAACAAACAGTAGCAGAATCAAGTGCCACACACTGAGACATCACTGGAGAAAAGGGAAAATGACTATTTAGAATATGAAACAGCTTAATGGAGAGAGATGTGGACAGAAGGAAGGAGCTGGGCTGAGATGGGGGTGGGGCTATAAAGCACACTTAAGACACTCAGAATCTGGGCATGGTAGTACATGCCAGTAATCCTAGCACTTGGGGCAGGAATGTCGCAAGTTCAAGACCAGTCTGAGCTACATAGGGAGGTCCTGTCTCTATGTTTTGTTCTCTCTCTGTGTGTATGATGTATTATATATGTATGTATGCATAAATGTATGTATGAGGGTGCATGTGTGGAGATTGGAAGAGAGCCTCAGCTGTTGGTCCCCACCTTCTACCTTGTTTGAGACACCAGGCTAGCCTGCCAACCAGCTTCCAGGTATTTCCCTGTCTCTGTTACCCATCACCATATATGAGTTCTAGGGACAGAGACATGCATGACTGCATCCAACTTTTACATGTGCTCTGGAGATCCAAGCTCAGATCATCATGTTTATGCAGCCAGCCCTTTACCCACTGAGCTATCTCCCCAACCCTGTCTCAACTGACGTCTGTTGCCAACTGAAGTCAATACACCACAACATGAGGCAGGGAGTGAGAAAGTAGCTGTGGACATGTTACATAACCCATCAGGGAAGGCTTGGGGGAAGCCTCAGACCTTCCTGAGCTTCACAAAGGTCTCTTGGGGGAGTCAGATCAGATGGTCATCCAGGGAGTTGGGAATGAAAGCATGGAAGGAAAAAGTCCACCTTAAAACTCTCAACATCCACACTTGATCCCTCCACAGATCCTCCCACTGTGACAATCACCAGCCGTGCAGCCCCAGGAAGAAAAAGGACATTCAAATGCCTGGCCTATGACTTCTACCCACAAGGAATAAGTCTGCACTGGAACCGGGCCGGCAAGATGCTGACATCCAAATCAGGAGGTGTTTTTCCCAATGGAAATGGCACTTACCTGTCCTGGGTGGAGGTGGAAGTCCCTCCTCAGGACAGAGACCCCTACTTCTGCCACATAGAGCATAGTGGACTGTCCCAGTCACTCTCGGTGCAGTGGGATGATACAAAGAAAGCAAAAGCCGAAAGCAACCCAGCAACTCAGCCTCAGTAAGTTACTCTCTCTGTGTGACATGAGAGAGTTGAGCTTCAGAAGTCAATGTCACCCACAAGGTCTTCCATGGGCAGCTGTGCGACAGCTAACTAGAATCCAAGGAACAGGAGTGGGGACAGAAGACTTGAACACCAAGCACTGAGTACACACTCAATGTCAAATCACCTGGCCTTGTAAAACTCCTCACCGATTAATCTGTAAGTCCTCACAACCCCTCATGCCTAGTACTGCATAGAAAGGCATTTTAACCTTGGAGATGCTATAAAAGTGTGAGTTGATTTTACCATGTGTCCTGTATAGTTGTTTTGTTTTTTGTTTTTGTTTTTTTTTTAAACTCTTTGGGGACCCACCACCCAGCTCCCAAACAAATACATGGAGACTTATTCTTACTTATGAATGCCTGGTCTTAGCTTGGTTTGTTTCTAGCCAGCTTTTCTGACTTAATGTGTTTCTCTTCTACATTTTGCCTCTGGGCTTTTTACTTTTCTTTATTCTATACTGAATCATGAATATAATTAATCTTATCAATAAAAACCTGAGACGAGAGCAGGAGAGCAGCCACAGTCGTTTCCTTCCTCTTCCGTTTCTCCAGTCCAAAAGGGCCATTATCCTGTCTCTGCCCCACCTTTTCACTTCCTGTTCCTCTCTGTGCAGACCTCCAGACCTCTATGGTTAACTAGTAGCTAGCTCCAGCCTCTGACTGTCCAAGCAAGCTTTATTTGTCAGAACACAAAGTATCACATAACAGTGTGTCTTTCTTCCCTTCTTACTCCATGGCTGGTTGTGTGGCAGGGTGCCTGGCATCCTCCTCTCCTTCTCCTTTTCTTGCCCCTCCCTATTCTCCTTCTTCTTTTCTAACCTAGATTTCTCCTTCTATTTATTCTCTATGCCTAGCAGCCCCGCATATCCCTCTCCTGTCTAGGCATATCCCTCTGTTGGCCATTCAGTGCTTTATTAAACCAATCAGGTGTTTTAGTCAGACAGAGTAACACAGCTTTACAAAGTTAAACAAATGCAACATAAAAGAATGCAACATCTCTTGGCATCATTAAACAAATATTCCATAAACAAATGTAACACATCTTAAGCTAATATTCCACAATAGTCCTGCCCCCACACATTTGATTCATGGGAATGTTCTCATATTCACTCAAAGATGTCTTGGCTTCATTTCTGTTGTTGTGAAAGGATAACCTGACAAAAACTATTTTAAGAGAGAAAAGGGCTGTCTGGCTTATCCTTGCAGGTCTCTGTTGTATGATGCTATTCCTGGGGAGACGTGAACAAACATTTACTAACCCCAGTTAGGGAACCAATTACAGATCGAAGAAATGTCCCACCTGGTGAACCAATTAGTTGGGATTATTTACAAGAATGTGAGTAAGGGATTACTTACAGGAGCAGAAATAACTCAAAGACAGTTTCATTACCAAAGTCCACTGAAGCACGGGTGATAGCTCATGAAAACTGGAAACCTTGAGCCCACTATACAACCTGCAGGCAGCTCAAGAGTTTGGAGATTGTTCTTTGCAGTTAGCTCAGCTAGTCTGAGCCTCTCCCAGGCAACAAGGCTGGTCTATGCTTCTTCCAGGAAACTCATCTTGTCTGTGACTATCTCATGGTAGTCTTTATTGCTCATATAGGCTTGGAGAGGGCGGGGCCTAGTAAATCTAATCAGTTTCAGTGACTTCCTGAAGCTAGTGAATCCCCTGAAGAATGAAATATTTCACATTCCCTTAGCCCATCCTGTTCCTTCACCTCCCTTTTAACATTCTATGTCTAAACAAACTTTCCTCCAAGATGAAAGTATGTAATCTTGAAAGAAATTACTAAACAGCAGTTGTAGTCCATCACTGTGGAGAAGCCAATGCAGGAACTTGAAGTAACTAGTCACATCCACAGTCAAGAGCAGAGAGAAAAATGAATTCATGCATGCCTTCAACTGCTCAGTACCGTCTCTACATACAGTCCAGGATCTCCTGCCTAGGGAATGGTGCCACCCATAGTGGGTAGAGAACTTCTCACCTCAATTAACATAATCAAGATAATCTGAACAGATATACTCATAGGCCAATCCAATATGGGCAGTCCCTCATTGAGACTTTTTCTGGGTGACTCTAGGTTGTATCAAATTGGCAATTAAAATTAATCATAAGGGCTGTCAAGGTGGCTCAGCAGGTAAAGGTATTTGCTGCCAAGCTTATGACCTGAGTTCAATCTCTAGGACTGACATGGTAGAAGGAGAAAACCAACTCCTGGGGCTGGAGAAATAGCTCAATGGTTAAGAGCACTGACTGCTCTTCTGGAGGACCTGGGTTTAATTCCCAGCACCCATATAGCAGCTCAAAACTATAACTCCAGGTCCAGGGGACTCAACACCCTCACACAGACATACAAGCAGGCAAAACACCAATGCACATAAAATAAAAATAAATTATTTTTTAAAAAAAGAAAACCAACTCCTGTAACCTGCACATACATATTCTTTCTCTCTCCCTCCTTCCCTCCCTCCCTCTATGCTCTCTCTTGTGCTACCTCTCAATTTTAATTTCTTTAAATTAAAAGAACTTTTTTAGATTTATTCATTTTTATTTTTATTTTATTTTGCATACATACTTATGCTGCCTGCATCTTTGTCTGAGCACCATGTGCATTCCTGGTGCCCACAGAGGTCAAGAGAAGGAATTGGATCTCATGAAACTAGAGTTATAGATGGTTGTGAATCACTCTGTTGGTGCTGGGAACTGAACTCAGGCCCTCTCTGAGGGCAACAAGTGCTCTTTTTTTTTTTTTAACAAGAAGTTTATTTAAACAACAAGATGCTTGACTTGAAAGGAAAACTATCTAGGATCATTTTGTTCAAGAGTAATTTATCCCTACTTAAAAAGAGATTGCCCTACATCTAACAAAAAAGTTATAAAATTGTCCTTGGTTTTACAATGACAAATGAAAAACATTAAAATTCTCCAATCAAACAAGGTATGCAAGGATTTTGTTGTTGGGTTCTTTTGTTAAAACGTTGAGAGCAAAATAACTTACTGGAATATAAAGGTAAGAGCTGAATGAGCATGCCACTAATGGAGAAAGGGGGATATTTTCACAGAACCAGTACTTTCCCCCAGACCATCTCCATCTGATGTCAATCAAAACAGAACATTGGCTATTTAGTTTAAAAAAGAAAAAAGCACAAATGCTTGTGCACGTACACCAGTTACTTTATGTATGGGGGGTGCTGGAGAGATGGCTCAGAGGTTAAGAGCACTGCTTGTTCTTCCCAAGGTCCTGAGTTCAATTCCCAGCAACCACATGGTGGCTTACAACCATCTGTAATAAGATCTGGTGCCCTCTTCTGGCCTGCAGGGATATGTGCAGACAGAACACTGCATACATAACAAATAAATCTAAAAAAAAAAAAAAAAAAGGTCACAAAAAAAAGAAATGGGGACAGGGAAATGAAAGAATAGAGAAAACTATACTGCAGTAGTCAGGATGTGGTGGAACCAAATTGCAGCTTTCTTTTTTTTTTTTTAAGATTTATTTATTTATTATGTATACAGTGTTCTGTCTGCATGTATCCCTGTGGTCCAGAAGAGGGCACCAGACCTCATTACAGATGGTTGTGAGCCACCATGTGGGTGCTGGAAATTGAACTCAGGACCTCTGGAAGAACAGCCAGTGATCTTAACCTCTGAGCCATCTCTCCAGCCCCAAATTGCAGCTTTCTAATTGCGAATGTATTCTTGGTCTATAACAAAATTCTGGAGTAAAGTAACATGTTCCCTTTGTAGTAGACATCTGCTGTCTGCTGCTGGAACACGTCAATCATATCTTCATCCTCCATGTCCAACTGTGCAGGTGTATCTGTTTCATTGACTGGTTGCCCATCAAACTGGAATCTGATCTGCCTCATTGACAAACCCTGTCATTCACAATAGGCTTTCATTAGTTTACTAAGTGGTGTATGCCTCTTAATCTTAAACTGCACCCCAGAACGATCCTGCCCCGCCACCTTTAAATTAATAATGATCGTTGTTCTCAGTCTTGACTCCTTCTTTGGGTTTCTCGTCCGCCATGGCTAGCACTGGAGTCTCCTCATCCACCCCATCACAAAAGAGGCACCAGGTGCGCAATGCTGCAAGTGCTCTTAACCACATCTCCAGTCCCCTAAAGAGATTTACTGTCGGCAGCAGTAAGTTTGATGCCTTAATTTTAAATGCCCTTTTTTGTCCTGTCCCAGTTAAGTTGTTTGTGTAAAAAATGTGCAGTTGGGTTCTGGAGATCAGTTCCCCCCTATGGTTTTTCCTGTTTGGAAAACAGTGTCGGGCTTGCCTATGGACACAGAGTAACCATTCCTTGACTCCTGCGTTAGAGGTGTATATAAACCCATGTTGGTACAAATAAAGAGAGCTGCTTCCCTGACGAACTGAAACTGGGTGTCTAGAGTGCTGCTTAACCTCGGCATCCCTCGCCAGATTTCGTGCTCCAGCTGTGCGGCCGCTGCAAGTGGAGGTCACCACTGAGACCTGGAAAGAGGGGTAAGCGAACGAGGCTCACCCTAAAAGGAGGGGTGGAGGATTGAAACATTGGTATGTATCATGGGTAATTATACTGCAAAAGCTCAGTTGGCCACTGAGGAACAGGAATTGAGTTAAGTAAGCAAGGAACAGGAATTAAGTAAGCAAGGAACAGGAATTAAGTCTAGCACCGCACTCACATTTGTGGACCCCATAGCTGAGGCAAGTCCTTGGTTTCTGACAGGAGGAGGTCTGAATATTCCAGATTGGGAAAGATGCTCTTCTGACTGATAAAGTGAAAGTGAAAGAGCAACTTTCAGAGTGTGAGCAAGCATTTGCTAACGCTCAGGAGGCAGAGATGAATGAATCTTTGAAAGGGGAAAAGGAAGAGGTCGAGGTCCCCTGTAAAGAGTGTATAAGGATATTTGTGAAAGATTTAATGGATGAGGAAGAAGACGATGATCTTGCCTCTGTCTCAGATTTAGTAGAAGAGGAAGAGCAGCTAGAAAAAGAGACAGAGGAACTACAACGGAAGTTGTGCCATGCAAAAGTGAAAGCACAGTCAGCACCTTCTGCTCCTCTATTGTCTCGACCCCCCGTCAAGAAATCCTCATTGGATAAGGGAGGAAAAAGAATCAGAGGACAGATATCGGCATAAAAGGGGGTGGTGTGGCATGAAACATATCCAGTAATTGAAACTCAGAATCAAGCTGGACAGGTGGTCCAGGAGCATGTTCCTTTAACTTTAAAAGATGATGCCTCAGGGAGA